CCCAAGATTTAGGGTTTAGGGCTTTTCACGCGCCATGCGGTAGGAATCTTGCCTCTCAACAGCAGCCTTAACAAGAACAACAAAGGTTTTAGCGCTTCGGGTTTTTGGCATCAAGGAGACCAGATGCAAAAAGGAGTGTGGGAGTGAATATAGGCACTATTTCGGGAGTATATATGAGCCATGGTCTAAACTCCTGGTATCTCCCCTAATAACCTTTATAGTAGTCCCCTGTATAATCCCTTATATAACCCCTTTAAGGAGTTTAGACTATAGCTCATATGGGGATTGTCTAGGGATCAACATAAGTTTCCACTTCTCGAGTCTGCCTTAAGCACCAGTAAGGCATGGAGGGTGAGGCTGCTGTCTATGCTGGACACTTCTGCTGGGAAGAAGCACGAGCCAACCTGCAACAGGTAGGAGCCAAGCAGGCGACCTGGATTTAGCATGTAGTTGTCATAATAAAATAGACAACACCAATAACAAGGAGTATAGCAGTATAACCTTACTAGGTTCAACCGCCAAAGAAGCGCGACTCAGGTGGGTTGCTTGACGAACTTCCGTGAGCCAGTACCTCGCATCATGTCCTGCTACTCGGACCGCTTGGTTGGTGCTGAGCATGCCGCACCGGCCTGCATGGGAGACCTTTGGTCGCATTTGCGGGTTTCCCAAAATGGGTCCCTATAAAGGCTACTAGCATTTGTTTATGTTAGGCTCCCCTCCTGTATGGAACCTACCATTCGCGTTTTGAGTTGGAGTGATGCATTACTATCCCAGCTCGGCTCTTTTAGGACCTTTCAGTTGAGCAGCTGACGAGACTGTTGGTGGACCATGGCTGCATCAATGAGCCATTCAGAAGGCCAAGCTTGTGACTAAGGTGACTAACCAATCTTGAGACAACATGCAAAGAGCGCTGGCATGTGGACCCGAAAGTTGTTTCTCACATCTACCTTTGAGAGCTGTTGGCAGGTTCAGCGAATGCAAGCCAAATTCAACTGTGAGCATGGTGGACGGGAAGGTAGCCGCAGCATGGTTGGCATGACTTCAGTACACTACCATTTCCCTATTGAGATATTGTAGTTGCTTGCAGCCAGGCACGTCAGTCTGCTTGGCAAAACACCTTGGACTACATGTCGCAGTGCGTTCCGATCATTGTGGGCAGACAGGTGTCTTTGAAGGCCTTGCATGACCATAGACAAGACGCGGCTATTGCAGGAAGCTGCTGCTATTGTTATTGCAACTACTGCCACGGCAGCTGCTGCTGCTGCTGCTGCCACCCACGGCCAACGCCCCCCGCTGACACCACCCGCCACTGCCACCCTCGCCAATCCCGCCACCGCTGCTGCTGCTGCTTATAGAGGATCGATGCTACCACCACTGCTACAACCGTTGTTGCTGCGACTTCTATTTACCACTACTACTAGCTATTTGTATTATTGACCACTGCTACGGCGATGTTGTTGCTGATGGCGATGATATCGCTGGCGAAGATGACATGCCTAGCACTGGTAGGGTTGCCCACATGGAAGGTTGCCGCCAGCTACTATCCGCAGCTTGCTGATGCTGTCTGGGACATGAAGTCGCTGGCAGTCAACAGGACTTGCGCTCGCGATCCCAAAGCCATCAGTACCGGTAATACTTCCATGGCAAATGACTGCTTTGTCAATCCAATCCTCATGGATTTCTTGCCTGCCAAATCCCCAGGAACACGCACTATCTCAACCAGGGGGAATGCCAAGTTCCAGAGACGCATATGGAGGTTCCGAGCCCGTAACCTGCAAACTGTAATCTAGATGAGCTATAGTCGAAACTCC